TTTTCACAGCTTAATTACATGAATGAAAATAACCTCCCACTGACAAAATCAATAGCAGAGTAGACTGAATGGTAACGAGGAGTGTTAAAGCGACACATCATCTTCCGACTATTATTATCGTAGGATCCGGCTTCAAGCGTATGTAATGACGCGCGCGTTTAAGTACGATTCATCGTGCGCATCACTAAAAGGGTAATCCTCTCTTGGTGATCTACATCAGATTAACTTTCATTCGTTTGCCCATAAAATTACTCTCGCAGAAGCGTGTACAGTAATTATCATTGTGCTTCATAATTGAAAATTATACAACGCAGTAAACACAATCAGTAGTGCTTCTGATCGATAAACGTTTTACTAAAATTTAATCCATACGCATATGAGCGATTTAATTACTTCCCCATAAATTTGATAAATCATTTAGAATAACAAGTTATTTAGAAAAGATTCTCCAAGTATTAAATAGAAAAACCAAATTACATGTATAAACGTACAGGTGATTGTAAAAGTATGAATGATTGTCTTCAAGAATAGTGGCAACTATTATTCATCAATGAAATCAACCAGTTAGATTTTTATTTAATAGGATTTTATATATAATATATAATTTGTATTGGCAAGAAAAAGAAAAAAATTTAATATCAAAATTTCATTTGATAGCTTCCATTTATTCTAAAATATAACCCTCACATTTATTTTAAAATATATCCAATGCTCTTCTCTATACTACGGAAACGATACACTTGGGTATGGCATACCCAACCCAATTCGATTGCTTATAACTTTTCTAAAAATGAACATATTGTAAAGAACTTCTTTTTTAATTAAAACGTCAAACATTAAGGAACACCACGGTATCAAGCAAATGTATATATCTTTATTTAAAAAAAGGTTAAAAGCAATAGAAAAAGCATTGGAAAAGCATTGAAAGAAGAAAATCGAATATATCATACCCAGAATAGCACCAAAGGGTTAAATATAAATAAAATAGTTGAGTTCTATATTTCTACTTATTACGAAACTAGTTGAGTTCTATATTTCTACTTATATTAATAAACTCTGTGCTAATATAGTCAACTTTAGATTCTCATAGCATAAAAGATTGAGCTTTCTTTTCTATACTTTATCCGTCTAATACTTCACTGTTGATGTCAACAATTAGATGTCTCTCTAAGATATCTCTTTAACATGAAAAAAATAATGTAATTTTAATAAATTTTTAATTATATTTTATTATTCTCCAAAGAAGAAGAGTAGCTTATCAGCAAAATAAAAATTTTAAATCATTGTACGAAGAACGATCCCATCAATTTATTCGCTATCATTATGCATTTCTTCACAACATATAATATATTCTTCACAGCATATGATCCCCATTATGCAAGCAAAATACGTTAGCAATTTGAAAAAATCTCGTTAAACAAAACTCAATTAGTCTGCAGCTTCTCCATTTTCATTCTCCATTTTTCTAGAATTGAGAAGAGCATTGGGAAGTCTCGTCCGTTTCTCTTATTCAATTATTATACGATTCCGCTAGAATATTTCCGCGAAGCGTATTTCCGCCAACGCGTCGAGAGAAGAATATTCTTTCCCATCACATCTATCTATATTTCTTGCCCAGACGCTCAACTTCTACGAGGATATTTTATATCCGCTAATATTATTGTCGTTCGCTTTTGCGTACCGCGAGAAGACCGCAGAGTTATAATCTGCTAAATATTGTACCGGATCGTTAAAAAGTCGTAAAACATCATTAAGCGGATTTCTGTCGTTCCTTTAACTTTATACACTGTGATGACCCTCGAGAGTGCCCTCGAAATCTTCTTTATGGTAGAACAATTTAACCAACGTTTTTTTTTCTTCGCCGTAAATCTAGAGTGTGTGTATATTGAGAGCTAGAGTTTATATCGAAGAAATTACATCAGGCGAGATACTGTGTGTGTGTTAAATAATTATAGATGTGCTGCTAGTTCAACTGCGTGAATAATTTAATCTTAATGTCGTAATATCGTGACCGATTACGAATAAAGTCTCATTGCGCTCGAATAAAATTCCTCTTCAAAGCACCACGATGAAATGAACCGATATCGACGAGTGCCGTCAGGAAAACTTAACGACGCAAACGGGCATCAAGCTGCTACACTTTAAGTCCTTCGTTCCTTCAATGACATTTTCGTCATTTGCAATATGAAACGTTCAAAATTGATCCTGTCGAGATATTTCCGTTTAGACATAAAAAACATAAAAATATAAAGTATTATAAAAAAATGTTACGATAAAATATTTAACAAACATTCATCAATATACAAATATTTTTTAAATAGATTTATCTTCTTACAGCCAAAATGCGATTTACAAACGTGATTTTATTTAATTTATGATCGTACAGGAAATAAATTATTGATCAAATTAATAAATGAGATGCTGAAACTTACATAATGCACAAATTCATTAGTACAACTTTAATTAACAAAAAATTTTTTAATGTACTTGAAGTTTAACAATAATTGCTCAACTGTTTTTTAACACATTTATTTGATCGTGAAATTAAAATCTAATTCGATGAGCTCAATACTAATTAAGAGTACGAAATGTTCTATTTAATTAACGTATCGTTTAAAGTAAAAATATTATTGCTTTATAAAATCTCTTAAACTTTGTGCTACATTTAAAAAACAGATATATGGTCTCTGATATATGAAAGTTTTTTGCAACCTTCCTGAAAATAAATTTCGTTCATCGCAAATAAGTTTTTCACGAGTTGTACTTCAATTTCACTTCAATACTGTCCTTCAATATTTACCATGATAGCTATCAAACTATTCTGCCTTTTCACGATATGTCTCGTAGAAACGCAGTCATATATATTCCTTTATGCAACAATAGTGCGTAGAATGGCCGATACATACAGTACATATATTCGCACTGTATGAGTTCGAATACAAAAGGCCCTTTTACATCCGAATTCATGCAGTGCAATCTGAAGAAGAGATCAATAAATGTGTAGCGACGCGTGTCCACAAAAAAATGTACAAAAATTGTGCAATTAACACAGGTTCGTTGATCGGTTTTGACACAATGTCGATCTGAATCTTTTAGAGACTATACATCAAAAAATGTCCGACACATATCTATCCACTTTCAAAAAACTTTTGATCCTCCAATAATGGATTTAAGACAACTTTAATAAAAAAAAAACTTTTAGAATTTGTATACTTATTCAAGATTTTCGCATTTTTTTGTTAACTTATAGTTTTATACTAAAATGCAAAAAAATATTAAAAAATATATTATAATTTAATAAAAGTTTAATAAAGTATCTATAAATAAAACATATCACCAGCAAATAGATTATAAGTATAAAATTGAGGAGACTTGTTATTATTTTGGATTTAATTTAACAATCGATAACGATACAACGGAGGGGTAATAGCGCCAGCATAAACAAGCTCTAAAATCGGAATTACAGCAAGTTCTAAAATGAAAACGAGCTTTACTATACCATTGGTCGTGAAGCTATAGGAAGTGATATGGTTCATAAAGTCATCTCGAGACCACCGTGCATCAATTCATAAATTGAAAAAGATTGCTAAGCGCCTTCGAATTGGCTCGCAACTCTCGCAAGCTAGTACTTGCAACGTAATTACCCAATGCCTCATTCAACGGAAAATGTAAATGAAATATTCCGCTGTTCTATTCTTATCCATCTTCTGGGTATTACATCAAAATTACAATCAATAAAGTTTTACAGGATGATCGATCACGATGTCTTTTAATCAACGCTATCTATGCGAAGTTTGATAACAAGTTTTCAAAATTAATTGCACGTTTATAAGGCTTTGAAAAATTAAAAAGATAATTACTCAAAGCTAGAAATAAATTTCAACGACAATCAATTGCGGCAAGTCCTTTAAGCGCTGACGATTAATAATTATTGACTTACAATTTATCTTTAAAGTATAATTAAAGAATTTATCTTCAAAATATAATTAAAGAATTAATTGCAAGATTATAATTAAACTATAATAAAATGAACTAATTGCAAGAAAAAGATTTATATGAATATAAATCCACATTAATTCAATGAATTATGTACACGTTAATCATACAAAATTACGTTCACGTAAATTCGTATAAACCAATTTCACATCCAAATTCATATTTAATCCTAGAACGTAGTTGATACGTAAATTTTATGTACAATTGAACGCTAAGCTATACTTTCAGTGGCCATTAGGAGGCCAATTTGCCATGCTAAAAGCTAAGATATGCAGAGACACAAAGTATTTAAAGATTCGGTTTGTCATATGTCAATTTAAATCCCTTGGTCAGTATCATAACAAAGAACGTAGTAATTGATTTTAATTTTTAAGCAATTTTTGTGTATTTTATTTAAGTGTTACGAGGAGACACATATACAAAATTGGTCTACGTACCCAATATCATTTCAAGTTTGAATTTGATTATAAATATTTTGTCATTAAAAATATGAAATAAATAAGAAACTTGTGTTACATTAATTAATTGAGAGTGGCCTATTTCCTGTTACGTAAAATTTACATCAACAGCAATACTGTATTAATCGATAGCCCTTCTAGGGTTAAAAAATAAATCTTACACGAATTATAGGTCTACCTCGTTCTCGAACGAAATTTTTCAATTTGCTGAGCGGGACGTGATTCAGCAAACGCATTCCGTTCGAAATAGGCCGTGAGTCTTACAAATTTTCCATTAAATCATATTCCTCTCGGAGTCATAGAAAGCGCCGTTATATGACTTCTACTCTGATGTAACGCACGAACTGGTACACACGTAGATATCAGATTGCGCGCAACTATCAGATTCAGTACGAAAAAGAGGCACGTTTGTGTGCTTGCTCTTTCGCTGCCACGTACGTATATGTGAATACTTCCATATTTCACACAGAGATACTGGTGTAAATAACGAGCACACGTTTCATAAGGGTAACTTTTGGTACATATACTCGTACCAAAGCTGTACATTTAGTGCGATACGTTCAGAGCGGCAATGCCCTCGAAGGTAGAAGCATGGTTAATCGAAGTTCTCGTACCGTCTAATACCGTGTAACCGGTCCCCAGCATCAAAACGAACGCTGTCATAACCCAGCCGCTATGAACTCGAACATCGGGTTGTCGAACGATCTGTTATTAGAATCCCGAAGACCCATACTCAGATTACTGCATCCAGTCATATCAGCAGACCCGGCTTGCCATACTGTTTTTGATCAATCCCGAAGTGGTTTTCCCTTGACGAAAATTTCATCAAGCATGCTATCGCAATGTCTCGGATCGATACTCAATTTGTAATCCCAATGAAGCTATAGGACCATTTCAAATTGTACGAAGAACCTTGGTTGAGATTCCTCTACACTACGTCAGCTTATAATTTATTTATGCAATTTGGTTTATGCTAGGCATTATTTATGCTTAGGAATTGACTGACATCTCTCGTGTCAGGAATTAATGAATTAACATATAAATCCATTACGTGTTTATCGATGCATTTAATAAATCGTTACGTGAAGAGATTCGGGAAATTTCTAAATCGTGATATTCTGACAGTAGCTACAATACTTTAATTTTGAATCTTTTCTAACAAAAAGTGTTCGTCGTATTTAACTTTATAATTTCCATAACTCTGATATTTTGAAAATAAAGCATTAAATTACATATTTTTTTAATTCATGCTTAAAAATTAAAATAAAACAAATATATTATTGACTACACCTGCCGTGGTACATTAATTCTAATTTCAAATTGATTTCAAATTTTATATGGAAAAATACAATTCTGCAATCTGTCATCTAAAATACATACAGTTGGCTTTACAGCTCTTGTATCCGTTTTGATCTTGAGCGGTGAGTCTTGTTCAAAATACTGAAATGACAAAAAAGTAGAATATGTGTGTCGTATTCGGCAGAAATATGATAGCAAGCGAGCAGCTGTACAGTTGTTTGAAAAGATTTATATATATATATATATATAATATGCAGAGATAAACTTGAAAATTTTTTAAATTAAGAAACAAAAATAAAAATAAGCTTTAACTTTCACTATCTTTCTCCATTTACATCAAATCATATATTAGTCTTGTTTTTATTCTAATTCTTCTCATTATTCTTATATAATATAATAATAAGTTTTATTTCCTTCTTTACCTTTCAGTTTACAAAGAAAGAGCGTTTATGGGCCTTACCATATTTCTTAATTCCATTCTTAACCTAACTAACCCTATGACTTCCGTTTTTACCTTCATTATTTTAACTTCACTGCCCTGATCTTAACTTCACTAATTTCTGCATTCAATCGTACCCTCTTCCGTCCTCGTTTAATAAATTTTCTATTCTCCCATTCCATCTCTCTATCTTTACACAGTTTCTAGCTATATGGTACTCTCTCTCACATTTCTCTGCACACACTCTACACATCCTCCATTCCCTTTCTCTCCAATAACAGCTTGCTCTTGTTTCATTCCCACACCTCATCCTCGCTATCAAACATACTTTTTTACCCTCTCTTCTTTTTGCAATCCTAATATATTCTAGTAACCTTACTACTCTAATGTTTTTGTATATACTGCAATATTTTGCCTTCTCAATACTTTCTACAATCTCTTGCATGTCTACTTCTCTATTTCTCATTCTCATCTCTTCTATTCCCTGCCTTCCTCTCTTATTTAATTCATTCTCACTCACTCCACATCTCCAAATATACAGTTTCCTCTCCACATTTTCTTGGTACTCATTCGTCCTCTTTTAACTTTTTCTCTCATTATTATTATATTAGATTATACTTGTTCCCGCTTTTTCTCAAATGTTTATCGTGCTATCGTTTATAAAACCGGTATAAACATATTTAATGCATTTATGCGAATCCATGCAAACGTTCACAATGTAGTGAATCGGAAACTAAGTATTCGCTAATTCCAAATGTTTATCATTGCAGAACAGACTGATAATCATTGCAGAAGCCTCGTTTTAATCAGTTAGATCAGGAGAGGATTTAAATTAATTAAACTAGAGCTATTTACATTTCTGTAATCTCTTAGAAACGTACCTTTACGAAAAGAACGGTTTTGCTAAAGTATCTAAACATTTTACTATTTTAAGTCTAAAAATTTTGCATTTTTAATTTTGTTGGACTACTAAAATAATTCTGTGAGACGTTCAAACTGACTGATTGCTAAAATGTCCAAACTTCTTGCAGCATTACTCATCATACTTGAGTTTCTTAAATAATTCTTTTGATGGTCCAACCAAGTTATTTTCATATCTGTATATCTACATAAATTTTTAAATACTTCAGCAAAAATTTAGTGTGCCCGATGAATAATACACCTAATATTTGAATAAATGAATAAAAAATGAATGAAAATACCCATTCGAATACACTTCTTTTTTATTTGAATAAATACTTCTTCATTCCATCTGAATGAATATTTTTTTAATATAATATGATTACGTGAATATTTTCGTTTTCGCATTTATTTCTACTCTGTATTATCTACACATATATAGCTTGCAAACCTGCAAGAGAAAACAGAAATCTTATAGTTAAAGGTTAGTTATAGTTAAAGGGTAATGATTGCTTATTGGAGCTTTCTTTTTCAGTTTATATTTTGTTTGAATGCTTAAATAAATATGAATACTCGTTAAATAATCATACATTTTTTGTGAATAAATATTTTTGAAAACCTAAAATTTGGAATGAATAGAGTGAATGCATCATTGGTAACCACCAAGCATTTCTATAACTTTAAAAAATTTTTTTTTAAATAATACCTAAAAAAAGATACTATTTACTTAAATACATTGTTTAATGTCTTAGTTTTTAATATTCAAAAAAGTTTTAAGGAAAAAAGCGAATGTATAATGAAAAAGTTAAATAGTTGCAAAAATTCCATTTTATACCATTTTTGACCACCTATATACTTTCTATCATTACGAGGTTGACTACTAATTACTTGATGGCTACTAGTATTGTCTGCTATACTTGTGTCATATAATATATAGTTATTGATAAATTATTCTATTTACCGCGTTTCTGGGATTCTTATTGTTTTTGACAAGATAACTGTGTCTTGAGTGTATTCCGTAGAAAATAATTTTTTTTATAATATGAAAGAGGAAATGTGAGGTTACTTGTCACATTATTAAACAAGAAAAATAATTGCGACGCGCATGTGTCGTGATTGCTGCGCCCCAAAGCCAAAACTAAAAGAACCTAATAAATAGCGAAGGTAGTCAAAATGGGTGCAGTGGCCACAAATGGTGCATTCACCCTATATGATATTTTTTTAACGTGAAAATTTTTAATAAATACAATTTGTAGCTCAATTACAAATTTTTGTATTCATCGAGCACACTCTAATCAAAATCGGGTTTTTTTCATATTTTTTCTCTGAAAAAAGATGCCTTGACAACACTTATCTTGCCCGGCATCAGCGTCGTAATAGCAAAGCTCACCGACTTTTTGAATAATCTTCACAGTACGTGCTGTTCCAGTAAAAAAAAGTTACGCTGCAGAAATCTAGACTTCTTCTCTTTCGCTCGCACGAATAGTATGTACACTATGTACACGAATGATACATGAGCGCGGGACAACGCACAATTTTCCGGGAGAACGAAAGGGAGAGGCGCAATTTGTAGCCGTTGACAGCGCTCGGCAATTTATGATCTAACTGCACCGGATGTCATAGCGGTCGAGCAGTTTAGAACGCCGGCGGTTTTCCGTGCAACGTCCCGGATCACGATGCACGGAAAAATCAGCCGTTGCCTTATTGCGTGCTTAAGGATTTATGCGCGTTAGCACGACGTCGTTGTCCCACCTTACCAAGCCCTTGCATTTACAACGGATGTCACATCTTCTATGTCGCGAGATTTAACCGCCCCGCTAGTTGCTCACGATTACGCCACAGCTGCTCGCAAAGCATTAGCGCGAGCGTGCTCGCACGAGAATGCCAAGACCTGTCTGTGAATGTCATCTTGCTAATATACGGAAGTACCCTTTCACGTGCGATGCATCATACCATTTTACATGCAGCTAAAGCAAAGTTTGCGCATTATTATTTGTTTAATAAAATTATTACTTGAAAAAATAATGCGTCTCCTGAGACATGTCATAAACTTTCCTAAGACCATAAAAATTATGCTCCGTTTCATTCAGATATCTCATGGTTTTATTTTCATCGCGTAAAGTCTCTTTATGTGACATAAAAATAAAACGACAGAAAAAACTAGAAACTAGATACGGATTTGAAAATAATTTTCTTTGGACCATCAAAATAATTAGGTATGTAAGACACGCTCCAACTAGTTGCCAGAATGTTAAAACTTATCGCAGTGTTATCATCAACACTTAAACATTTTACATAATTATTTTGATGGTCCAATTATTTTAAATCTCTAGCTAGATTTTTAGATACTTAAAACTTTTCTGAAAACAATCATATCCGTTTACATTCGTTCTTCTACTGTAGAGTAGCCAAACTTTTGACAAAACAAATTTCACATAAGAATCACGGAGGATTGAATTTGAATATAATTCGAATCATAATAGAACTGACACTAAACCGTAAAAACAAACATTAAAAGTCTAATAAAAATGTTTGTATTTCATTTTAAATCCAAACTCAAGGCGTTAGTTTCGTTGATAAGCATACATTCCAATTGTTTACGAATTATATCGCCTTATAAATATATTATTTACGCACCAATAACCGCGAAAGCTCATATAAGCATATTTTACTCATATTTGATTTATTTTTAGAGCCACAAGATCATTTTTTATTTAAATTAAAAATCTGACTGGTAGATAAGTTACTAGACAATCATTAGATGCGCGAGATGAGAAGCCATATTCATATCAATTCTGAGAACATTACACAAACACTTCACGAGTCAATGTAATATGCATATGTCAGCATTTGTATGCATGTCGGCGTACTGCATTTAGAGAGAGATTTATCGATCGCAAGTCTCATGACTCTGATGCCCGTTTAATCTATAGTAAAATATGAATTATGTTCGATTTACGATGCCAAATCTCACTAATATACACGTGTCACGAGAAGTTTGAAAGCCTTTTATACCATTTAGAGAAAGGGACAATCAAAAAGTTCCAATACCGCTGCCTTTCACTAA